TTGTCAACACGTGGCCTGGAATCTTCCCCAGGCAGCAGCACGTGTCACGTGACGCCGTTGCACTCGGAAGTGTTCACATTTTTTTGAAGCACCCTGCATTCATTATCCCGGCTCTTACAAAAATCCCGCGCTCTGCCCCCCCCGCCACCACCTCAGCCGCCACGAATCTCGTCACAGCGCCGGCAGGATTCGCTCGCAAACTTTTCCCAGCACAGCGCGAGCATGTCGAAGCGCCAGCCGGCAGTGACGATTTGGGCTGTTGTGGCACCTTCAGAAGGGGGTTTGCGTCTCTCCCCGTGCTTGTGTGGATTGTTCTCCGGGTCTTCCGGTTTCTGCACCACCCACCCCCCCCCCCCCCCCCCGGAATTTAGAATCAACGACATTGTGAGTATTTGGCCGCTAGAAATTTCCACGTGATGATAAGCCACTTTGTTGAGCTATCATCTGTGATGGCAAGGTCGCTTCTGAAAAAAAGCTGTCATAGCTCAGTGGGGCCTTGCTGGTAAAATAAAAACAGTTTTGTATATAGAAGTCTGTGGCTCTCCTCCTGGCACCTCTGAGTAACCCCTCCCCCCTCTCTCTCTTCTTACGAGAACGAGCGAGTACCGAGCGAGTACCGTGCGGTACGTTGCAAGTTCAAATTATTACGATGATTCAAAGACGCACCGGGCCAGCGTGTAGGCCCAAGGGGCCCTCTATCTATCTAGAGGGGCCCCTCTAGCCTTGACACGCTGTCATTTGTGATCGACAGGGTCTCTTCTGAAAAACGGGCTACGTAGCTCTCTGGGCCTTACCTGGTGAAATCTTGACTCGAAGCTTTCGTGACTGCAGGAATCCATACTCTTTGGTTCTTTCGGTAGAGTCACGCAGGTAGAAAAAGAAATGATAAATCACGACGTTCAGTCACGTAGATAACTATTTCTGTGACTTTACCGAAAGACCCAAATAATTAAAATATATATATAGTTTAGTTTAGACTCTGTGGCAGGCCTCTGCTGCTTCACCTGCCCGGCCGGTGCCGGTGTTCGCCGGAGCTGCTGGGCCCCCAGGGGCCCTGGTGCAGGTTCGTCGGGGGGGGGGGGGGGCCGGTTTGAGACGTTACCGCCGTACTCCCTCGTCTCATTTTATGCTCGCGGAGCTCCTTTGGATCGAGGGGCTCCTTGACGCAGTGTCCGCGACAAGTTATTGAGGCGGCAAGAGTCGTGCGAGGGACGAGGGGGACCGGGCTGGCCCGACGATCGAGGGGGTCACAATAAGCGGCCGGCGTTCGGCAGGCGCGTCAGCCCCGGAGTCCGACTCGCGCCGCTCCGCTCCGCGTTGCCGCCGCGGGGAGTGGCGCAGCGGAACGCATTTTTAAACAGGCCCCTGGTTTTTTTGTTTTGTTTAAAAAAACAAAACAAAGTAATTGCAACGAGAGGAGCGTTGCGGGAGGTGGGGGGGGTGGTGGGGAGGGTGGGGGGCTGGATGCGTGGGCAGGGCCCCCCCCCCCCTTCTCCCCCCCCCCCCCTTCCCCCCCCCCCGCTCCGTCTCGGCGGCCGCAGGTGCGACCTGTTATTTGTGCGGATCGTTTTGCCGGATCCAGTTGCCGCTCGGCGGCCGAGGTTTTTTTTGGCAGCCCCGGTGCTGCGGCGGCGGAGGCGGCGGCGGCGTAGCGAGCGACTCTGCCGGCTCTCTCCGTGGGTACCCTGAGATGCCGGTACAGTAGTGCGCGGCCCCCCCCCCCTTCCTCATCCTCCGCACCCCCACCACCACCACCACCACCCCCCCCCCCCATTGCGTGGGGAAATAAAAAAATAAAATAAAATCAAAACCGGTGTAACGCTAGCGGCGCGGGGGTGATGCCGGCCGTGCGGTGCTTTTCAAAATAAAAACAACGATTTTATTATTAAAGTCGAGGTTAGAGCGCCTGGCTGGCAGCGCTGACGACGCCGGGTTCCGCTCTGTGTTTCCAGCCGCTCCTTCTGACCGCGAGATGTGTTAGGTTTCACAGCGGCGGCCGTCAAAGCCGGCGGAGGCCACAGCAGAGTTGAGATGATTTGGATTGTTTTTGCTGCCCTGAATAAATGTCCACCCGATGAGCCACTTTAGTTGCGCTGTCGTCTGTGGTGGTCGGGTCGCTTGTGAAAAATAAGTTCAGTAGAGCTCAGTGGGCTTCACCTAGAAAGATAAACAAAATTGTTTAGTTTTATTTGTATGCGTTTTTTTAAAGTGATTTGTTAACCATTCCTATACCTTGTACTCCTATTGTGTTTTTGCCCCTAATGGACATCTGTAAAAAAAAAAAGAGCTTTATGGCTCAATGGATTCCTCCTCCAGTATAAATAAAGATTCCGATTCTAAAGTTAAAGCAACAAAAAAAATCCATAAATAAATAAAGATTCTGATTCTAAAGTTAAAGCAAAAAAAAATCCACAATTGGCTTGGGGAGGGTTGGTGCCAGCGGCGGTGTACGCGACCCGCGGTTCGAATCTCGGGGCAGCCCTGGTTAATGCCGCCGCGTGTGTGAACAGCGGCGAACAACCAATCCTACGCGCCCGGCCCGCTTGGCCCACAAGCGCAAGGTCCCCCGTGATGTCACCACGGTCCGAATTTGAAGATAAAAATAATAAATAACACCGACATTTGCTCAATTGGGATTCACACGCGACCCGGTGAGGCTTTGCCTGGGTCAGTTAGTATTACAGTGATAATAATAATAGTGACATTCATATTAAACACGGGACAACCCTCAGGGTCCCCCAACCACCTGTCGTTAAACTGGGCGTGGAGTGGTGCTGGCCGTAGCGGTTTAAAGGTTATATTGTAATCATGATGATGATGATGGTGAAGCTCATGCTGTTGGTTATGACGATTAATGATGACGATGACGACGATGCAATTGATAACGCGCGCAATATTCCACGGATATAAACGAAGGCGGCTCTGCTGCTGCCACCGTTGATGAACATCCCACCACTGTTCAAGAACAAATAAAGCGACAGGAGTGGAAGACTGAGGAGGAGGATGAGGAGGAAGCACAAAGGGAGAGCGCCAGAGAATGGCGAGGAGGAGAGGCGCTGAGTAGCCGGCTTTCTTAACGAGGGGAGCGCGGGGAGACGCTGAGAGACGTGGGGAGCGTGGGGCGAGGAGAGAGAGAGAGAGAGAGGAGTGACTCTCCGCTCGGAGCCGAATGTCTGGAATTCTTCCTGATTGTTCAGCGAGCAGCAGCAGCAGCAGCAGCAGCTCCTGCCAAGCACAGCTACACGCACGCACGCCAGCGAGCTCCAAGCCCGTGGATTCCTTTTCGCTCTTCTTGTCCTTTGTGTGGAACAATCGGCGAATTCCTTTCCTTTTGTTCCCCTTGTTAAATTATTTATTTCCTCCTCCCCCCCCCCGTCCCCCCCCCGTTATCCCTACAAAAGCGACGCCGGGCAGTTCCACTGTGAGGCCTTCCCAACGGCGGTGCAGCGGGCGGCTGCGTTCGTCAATTGAGAGACTTATTGAGCTCCCGTTATTTCAACAACAAAAATCCTCTCTTTCATTCTTTGGCGCTCCCTCTCCCTCCACTGACCCCATGGAGGGGGGGAGGGGGTGACGCGGGGGGGGGGGGGGGGGGAGGGCGTGCTATCGTTGTTCCTGGTTGGTTGTTTTTGGCCGGTCCTTGCGATCCCGATTTCTCGAGCCGTCTTTAATTTCCCGTTAATCCGGCGCAGCCATAACACCGAAGGAGGCGGGGGGGCGGGGGGGGGTGGCGGTTTCTCCGTGCGTGGCTTTTCCCGCGTGCCTCTGCACGTCGTTTCTCCTCCTCGCAGGCTTTCGGCACGCGCTACTGCGGGGCCACGCCCTCGGCGAAGCTTGCAGCGACTCTCGCGGTGCCCTCTCGCGTCGAGACCCGTCAGCGTGCACAGAGACCCGTAGACATACATCGAGACCCGTGCAACCCGCATTGAGACTCGTAGGCATACACAGGGATCTATGGACTCGCACAGAGACACGGAGACGCGCTTAGAGACCCATTGACTCGCACGGAGGCCCGTAGATATACACAGGGATGTGTAGACTCGCACAAAACCCATAGACATACACAGGCATGTGTAGACTCGCACAGAGACCCAGAGACTCGCATAGAGACCCATAGACTCGCACAGAGGCCCATAGGCATCCGCAGGGATTTATAGACTCGCACAGAGACCCATAGAATCAGACAGATGCCCATAGACTCGCACAGAGATGGACAGACTAACACAGAGGTGTTACGGAGAAGGCATCCTCGCTACTCCTGACTCGGACATCTCGCTCAACAACCTCGACGTAAAATCACAGTTGTTGCTCTCCGCCAACATCAACCACGCAAAGAAGGAGGAGACGGAGTAGATGGTTCTCTTGTGCGTGCGGCCCTTGCGTCAGTTCAACACGTGGTTGGCTTCCGCGACCAATATTATCGACAGGAGAGGCTTTTGGGTTCGATGGAGTTTAATGTGGATGAACGCGTGTCGTTAAACCCGCCACCGCCCGACACAACCACGCTCTTTGGATCTTTCGGTAAAGTCACGTAGGTAGAAAAATCGTGGATCGCGACGTTTCTAATGCAACACAAGCCATCGTCATCAGGTGAAACAATACAGCAGGCGGACTGCTGAGGTAAGAGGGAATGTAGCGAGAGAGCTACTGCCACAAGCGGTTCTATGCGTTCTATTATTATTTTTCTACCCACGTGACTTTACCGAAAGTACCAAAGAGTATGGATTCCTGCAGTCACGAAAAGCTTCAAATCAAGGCCGACACAACCAATCGGTAAGGGTTTTCCACGTAAAGGAAACGTGCCAATTCGTTACTGTCGGTTGTGCCTGTGGGGTCGTGCAGACCAGACGCCAACTGGGGAGACAAAGGCGGCCGGGCGTGAGTGCCGGCCACCTCGTGCACCGTGCCGGCCTTCGTAGGCGCTTGCTCGCGAGCAACACTTGCCCCAACAAATCTCTCAAAGGCAACAATGTCGTCGTGTGTCTGTGGGGGTCGTGCAGACCAGACGCCAACACCCACGCGCTTCCTGAAGAACTGCGAGGAGGTGGGGCTCTTCAACGACCTCAACAGCCCCTACGAGCTGGACTTCAAGAAGGAGCAGGATGAGGAGGAGAAGAAGGTGAGGAGGGCGGGCGGGGGATGGCGGTGGTGCCGCTATATGGCGGGGGTGAATTTCCGCGTGCGGCCTGTTAATGTGGAGCGAAGGTGCTGCTTGGGTGATGGCGGTGGTGGTGGTGGTGGTCAGTGACGGGCTGGCACTGACACACCGGGCCCCATATTTGGGGCTGTGCAGTAGCTGCTCGATGTTTCAGTGGCTTACTCGCTACTTGGAACACGATCTGGTGAGAGCACGGAGAACTACCCCCCCCCTCTCCCTGCCCCCCTCCTCCACACCCCTTGGCACTGCACCCTCGTCCAGCGGTGGATTGACTGTCGGGCTGTACGTGTACAGTGGGATGTTAGTGTGTCTGTGTGTGAGTGTGTTAGTGCATGCGGTGGTGTAGCGGGTTAGCGCTACGCTGCGCTACGAACCTGGCGACACGGGTTCGATTCCCGCTCGCGGCAAACACCGGTGACGATTTTATGAACCGGTCCTGGGCCTCCCCTAGGTCGACTTTAAAACCTCAACCATCCTTCCCCGTTCCTAACCTCGCTCCCTTTCCCTATCCATCACCCTTCCCTTACCATCCTCCCCCTTCCTAACCTCGCCCACTCTCCCTCTCATCACCCTTCCTTGCCATCCATTCCCCTCCCCCCGAACACTCAAACCCCCCCCCATCCCTTTTCCCCCATCCACCAATAATTATTAACGTACAATTTATCATGTGAAGCGCTCTCGGGTAAAATCCGAGCGGGGGTGTTGTTGCGGCGGCATTGCGATGTGGCGGTAACGTGACGGCGTGGTCCGCGTGGTTTCTTCCGTTTAGATCTCGTTGGCCCCTGTTGGGCTGGGTCCAAAAAAAACAAATAAATGGTTTCGGCCGGTGAGGAAGAGTATTTGGGGACCGCCGAGTGTGCCAGCCGAGAGCGTGAATGAGCGATGAAGCGTACACATGGAAAGGCGATGAAAGTATCTTAACAATACTTTTGTTTTTTTAATGTTGATTTTACTCTGATCGCATTTGCAATTTCCCCCGCAAGGTCCGGCTCCACCGGCCCTCAGAATGGGGCCGACCCACCGGCCGTTTGCGGGCCATGGCGGTGGTTTCTTGTGGTGGTGGTGGTGGTGGTGATGGTGGTGGTGATGGTGGTGGTGGTGGTGATGGTGTGGGGTGCGGTGGTGTAGCGGGTTGGCGCGCTGCGCGACGACCCGAGTTCGATTCCCGCTCGCAGCCAACACCGGTGACGATTATCCGAGCCGGTCAAGGTCTTCCCCGAGGTCGACTCGGCCTCAAATGAGTACCTGCTGTGATGTGTAATCATCAACACTGGGGAGACAAAGGCAGCCGGGCGTGGTGCTGGCCACCCGTTCATAGGCGCTCGCTAACAGCATTTTCCCCATCAGTCTGTTAAGGCTATACGGGAGATCTTTGTCTTTGATGGCGATGATGGTGGTGTTGGTTTTTGGGTGGTGGTGTGTGACGGTGTTGGTGGTGGTGGCGGCGATTGGTGATGAGTGGTAGTCGTGTTGGCTGTGGCAGTTTTGGTGACCACATTGGTGAAGTGATAACAATGGTGGTGCTGCTGATGACGATGATGATGGTGGTCATGATGGTCGTGGTTATGATGCTGATGATAGATATGATGACAATGTTAGCAACGGTGATGATGGCTATGCTGACGATGGCTATGCTGACGACGTTGACGACGTTGACGATGTTGACGACGGCGTTGATGATGACGACGCCTATGCTGACGATGGCTATGCTGACAACGTTGACGACGATGACGACGGCGTTGATGACGACGTTGATGCCGTTGACGACGTTGATGACGACGATGACGACGGCGTTGATGGCGGCGATGACGATGTTGACGACGACGTTGATGACGTTGGTCATTGCCCAGCATGCGCTGGACCTTCGGACCGCGCTTCCCGGCGAGGGCCGGCCCCGGGGGGACGAGGAAACGCGAAGGAGCCGGCCCCGCGGGAGCCCCTCCTCGCACTCCGCCGAGATCGAGCGGGTGAGGCCCTGGAGACACCCCACCCCCTGCACACCCTTCATCCAGCAGTGGATAAGCCCCTTCCACTCCTCCGAGTACGAGCGGGTGAGACCACGGAGACACCCTCCCTCGCACCCCACCCCCTGCACACCCTTCATCCAGCAGTGGATGAGCCCGGCACGCTACTGGGAAGACGATCTGGTGAGAGCACGGAGAACTACCCCCCCCCCCTTTCTGCCCTGCCCCCCTCCTCCACACCCCTTGGCACTGCACCCTCATCCAGCGGTGGATCGACTGTCGGGCTGTACGTGTGCAGTGGGATGTTAGTGTGTCTGTGTGTGAGTGTGTGTGTGCATGCGGTGGTGTAGCTGTTAGCGCTACGAACCTGGCGACGCGGGTTCGATTCCCGCTCGCGGCAAACACCGGTGACGATTTTCTGCACCGGTCCCGGGCCTCCCCTAGGTCGACTCCGCCTCAAACGAGTACCTGGTGCGGTGTGTAGTAAACATCGCCGCTGGGGAGACTAAAGGCGGCCGGGCGTGGTGTTGGCCACCCACCCCCTCGTGTGCCGTTCCGGCCTTTATAGGTGCTCGCTAACAGCACTCGCCCCTAGAGTCTCTTAAGGCTACACGGGGGATCTTTGTCTTTGTGTGTGTGCATGTGCATGCGTGTGCGGGGCAGTAGCGTCGCGGTTATCGCTACGAACCCAGTGACCCGAGTTCGATCCTCGCTCGCGTCCAACACCGTTCAACGATTATCTGAATCGGTCCTGGGCCTCCGCTAGTTCAAGCCGGCCTCAAATGAGTACCTGGCGCGGTGTATAAACATCACCGCTGGGGGGACGAAGGCGGTCGGGGGGGTGTGGTGTTGGCGCGCTACTCGCTAGCAGCACCTGCCCCGACAGTCTGTGTGTGGCTCCTCTACGGGGGATCTTAGTGTCTTTGGCCTGACTTGCAATGTCACCGTGTAGCGGCGGGGGTGGGTGTAACGTCGCGGTCCGCGGAGCACGTGAATAATGTTTCAGTCTTATACAAACGCAGAGGCGCGACATCCCGTTGAGTAAATTCGCGTCAGGAGGGCGTGCGGGCCAGTCACAGTCACCGTAAGGTTTTGGGGTTTTTTTCTATTTTCGCGATGGGACGAAATCTAAGAAGCCGGCGGTGACCCACGCCGAACAGGGGGGGAGACGTAATATACAAACTCCACGCGCATCAAGGCTCCCGAGTCGGGAATCGAACCCCCAACCCCCCCCCCCCCCCCCCCGGGCCCTTCGAGCTGCGAGGCACGAGATGGTAGCCGCCAAGCCACCATCCAAATTGGAGGCCGTCGTGTGGACCGTCGAGGAATAGAAGTGGGCTTGTTTTTTTGATTTAGAGCTTTCGTGACTGCAGTAATTCGTATTCTTAGCTCTTTCGGTAAAGTCACGTTGAAGGGAAACAATAAAATAATAAAATATATATATTTCATTGTTCTATTGTTTCCCTTCAACGTGACTTTGCCGAAAGAGCTAAGAATAAGTGGGCTTGTTGTGCGTGCGTGGCGCTCGCGAACAGCACTCGTCCCCAGAAGTCTGTTAAGGCTATAAGGGGCGGAACCGTTTGTCTGGTTGTGTTTGTGTGTGCGGGTACGTGCAGGGGTAGCCGAGTGGCTAGCGCACCGCGCTACAAACCCACCCACCTGAGTTTGATTCCCACTCTCGGCCAATGAAAGTGTCGAATACCGGTCCTGGGCCTCCCTTAGGGTCGACGTCGCCTCAAATGGTTGTGTACGCATCGGCACGGGAGAGCCAAAAGCAGCCGGGTGCGGTTATGCCCACACCCCCTCCTGGTGCTCCGTGGCAGACTCGTGAGGTGCTCACCAACAGCACTTGCACCAACAGCCCGAGGCTACGTTGGGGGGGATGTTTGTTTTCGTGCGCGTGGGGAGTGGTAGGGTAGCGGTTAGCGCGCTGAGCTACGAACCCAGCGACCCGAGTTCAATTCGCGCTCGCGTTCCACCCAGCCTCAAAACGAGTGCCCGGTGCGGTGTGTAAACATCGCCGCTGACGAGACAAAGGCGGCCGTGCCGGCCTTCATAGGCGCTGCTCGCCAACAGCACGTTGTACGTGTGTGTGGAACTTCTTTCGCACCGCGCGTAGCCAACCGTGCTAATCGGAGGTGCGGGCAAGGAGACCAAACTAAACACGGTAAGCACTTGCCCCGAGAGCCTGTTAAAGGCCGCACGGGTTAATACTGCGGTGTGTTGTCAATCATGATAATACTACGCGCCGCCCGCTTAGAAATTGGCCGGTAACACCTCGAGGGCCTGAATATACGTATATAGGTAGAGGACTGCAGAGCTTGGTTTGGTGGGGTGTGGGGAGGTTAATTTGTGCGCGTGCGTAGGACTCGTCGTCCGCTGCCACCCCGCTGGCGCGCCCGGCCACCCTCCCGCTGGGCCGCCCCGGCGCCCGCCCCTACTTCCTGACGGGTCACAGCCCCGGCATGCTGGTGCAGCAGGCACTGCCCTCGCCCACCTCGCCCTCCGTCATCACCCAGGCGCCCTCCTCTCACCGCCACCTGGCGTGCGTCGCTCACCCACGCGCACGCAGTCGCCCACCTACACGCACAGTCGCCTACCTACGCACACTATCACCTACGTACGCACACTGTCGCCTACGTACACACGCAGTCGCCTACGTACACACGCAGTCGCCTACCTACGCACACTATCACCTACGTACACACGCCATCGCTAACGTGCACACGCAGTCGCCTATCTACACACGCGCCTACGTACACACGCAGTCGCCTACGTACACACGCAGTCGCCTACGTACACACGCAGTCGCCTACGTACACACGCAGTTGCCTACGTATACACGCAGTCGCCTACGTACGCACGCAGTCGCCTACGTACACACGCTGTCGCCTACGTACACACGCCATCGCTAACGTACACACGCAGTCGCCTACCTATGCACACTATCACCTACGTACACACGCCATCGCTAACGTGCACACGCAGTCGCCTATCTACACACGCGCCTCCGTACACACGCAGTCGCCTCCGTACACACGCAGTCGCCTACGTACACACACGCCTACGTACACACGCAGTCGCCTACGTACACACGCAGTTTCCTACGTACACACGCAGTTTCCTACGTACACACGCTGTCGCCTACGTACGCACGCAGTCGCCTACGTACGATTTTCTGCGTGTGGAGTTTGTATATCATCTCCCCCTGTTCGGCGTGGGTTACCTCCAGGTTCTTAGATTACGTCCAATAGCGAAAAATAAAAAAACCCACCTTCAATATGTTATTGGTATTGGCCACACATCCTCCTGATGCCAATTTACTCAATGGGATTTCTCGACTCTGTGTATATATAAAACTAAAACATAATTTACGCGCTCCGTACACTGCAACGTAAAAACACAATAAACCTGCACTGCTACACCCACCCACTACGGGATGGCGAGAATTCAAGTCAGGCAAAAGAGACACAGATCCCCCGCGTAGCCTTAACGACTGTCGGGGCAAGTGCTGTTAGCGAGCACCTATGAAAGTCGGGAGTGGTACACGGGGGGGTGGGGGGGTGGCCAGCACCATGCCCAACCACCTTTGTCTCATTTGAGGCTGAGTCGACCTAGGGGAGGCCCCAGGACCGGTTGAGATAACCATCGCCGGTGTTGGCCATGAGCGGGAATCGAACACGGGACGCCGGGTTCGTAGCGCTACGCGCGACACCGCCGCTCCCCATCCAATACCGACAGCCGCGGTTCGCCACTAAGCGACGGTGAAAGTCACCACGGCACCTGTGCCAGGCCAGGTTGCACCTTGAGGCCACGTGGAGTCTCGAAGGCTCGCTGCTGGCAGGAGGTCTCGGCACAGACCCAGCAGGTGCCATGGGTTCGCTGACCGAGACGACCGGCAGACGCATCACCACCGGCTGTGTTACCGCCCCCCCTACTGTGCCAACTGTCCCCATGCATACACTCGCTCACCACACACCCGGTCACCTACCTCTCCACACACTTGCTCACCCGACCCCACACCCACATATGCGTGCTCGCACACACGCACGCGTGCTCTTATCACCACAGGAGAACAAAGATCCCCCATATAGCCCTCGGCAGACTGTTAGCGCAGGCGCAGTTAGAAAGCAAGCACCCTTGAAGGCCGGCACGGCGCACGGCGGAGGTGCGTTTTAAAATTAGCCGCAAATTACTCAATTGGGATGTTACATAATGTTCCTGGCCGCCCCCTTCCCACTGAAATATCTTGCCAGGACCCTCCTGAAAGAAAGAGTCGTGAGCGGATTGGCAAAGGGCTCTTGGTAATAGGCACACCAACTGTTATTTAGTTTTTCAAACCTTTTGTCCGTGTGTTTTTGGCGTATTTGGCCTCCTCTTCCGCGTTGGCCCAGCGGTGGCACGAGCGGGGAAAACGGCAGGACTCGCGCCATTAAAGCCCGTTGCCTGCGTCGTGTTGTGCCTGCGTCGTGTCGCTCGCAGGGCCCTGCCTGGACCGCTGCCCCTCTTCCTGCACCTGCCCAACGGGCAGACGATGCCCCTGGGTGCCGTGACCAGCCCCACCATGCCCATCCCCACTGCCCTCTCCATGCCCCTTAGCACGGTGAGTTGGGGAGGGGGGGGGGCAGTAGGACATTGAGACAAATGTGAGGCCTTTTGGTGGTACATGGCACACTTGTGGCGCAAGGCGACAACGGTACGTGCGTCTGTCGAACTTCTTTCGCGCCATACGTAGCCAACCGGAGGTGCGTGGGGAAGAACAAGGAACCAACACACACACACACACAAAGCAGTTCTAAAGAAATGAGTTTGCCAACCTAGATGATGATTTTAAAAGTGCGTAGCTCCATCGGCTTCCTAATATCGGAAGGGAGGGCATTCCCAGGCGGCCGCAGAAGCGCGTCTGAAAGTGCACGATGCGGTGACCGCCGCCTTTGTTTGATGCGCATCGTCCGCCCGGAGACACCTGGACGCTGCTCGCCGCCGCTACCAAGTGCCCTCTCGGCCGCTACCAAGTGCCCTCTCGGCGTTCTGTACGCGCTGTCAACGGCGCATCGTCTTCCTCGGGGGTCGAGCGGGGTGTGACTTTTCGTTACAATCGTCATCCGCAAATGTCCGGCCTCGACAAAAGAGGGAACCACCTCCTCATCCATCTTCAATCGGAACCACATTGCCTATAGACTATAATTTCCCATGGACTAGCAATGTACATTGACCAAAATTGTTCATTGAATCACGTTGCCCATTGAACCACATTGCCCATACACTATAATTTCCCATGGACTAGCATTGTACATTGACCAAAATTGTTCATTGAATCACGTTGCCTATTGAACCACATTGCCCATAGACTATAATTTCCCATGGACTAGCATTGTACATTGACCAAAATTGTTCATTGAATCACGTTGCCCATTGAACCACATTGCCCATAGACTATAATTTCCCATGGACTAGCATTGTACATTGACCGAAATTGTTCATTGAATCACGTTGCCTATTGAACCACATTGCCCATAGACTATAATTTCCCATGGACTAGCATTGTACATTGACCAAAATTGTTCATTGAATCACGTTGCCCATTGAACCACATTGCCCATAGACGAACATTGCCCCGGTGGACTTGAATTCGCTCGCAGATCGTCACCGCGCGCGGTGATGCGCGCCAGGCCTATCCATGAGGGAGGCCTATCCATGAGGGAGGCCTGGCTAGGTGAGCGTGGCGACACCTGGAGGAACACTCGAAACGGCCTCCCCGTTGATGGCCCAGCGACCCACTGCTGCTGACACGAGAGGGCGCTTGAACAGACGTGGCCTGCGGGCTTGCAATCTCGCCACCTGGTGGATGGCTTTAGCAGTGCAAGAGGTTTTTTTTTATTTACATCTCAGTTTCTACGGAGCACCTGGCCAAAATCGCCAGCAACGTGTACAGCACGATGGAAAATTGAATTGAGCGAGGTTACTACTATGAGAGCTTGAGAATTGGTTATTATTTTATTCCTATATAACATTCCCATTTTTTTGTTTTACTTTTTGTTTCACCAGGTAAGGCCCACTGAGCGATGTAGCTCTTTTTCAGAAGCGGCCTGGCCTTTCACAAATGACAGCTCAACGAGGCGGAAATTTTTAGCAGCCAAATATTCAACGCACGTGAATTCTAAATGTGGACGGAAAACCCGGAGGACCCGGAGAAAAATCCACACGACCACGGGGAGAGAGACACGCAAACTTAAAATATACAGCAGGGTCAGGATGGAGCCCACGACCTCCTGCGTACGCGACGAGGGAGTTGACATATCTCCACCGCGGCGCCCCACGAAAGCCGCTTGCTTTACCTGGGAAATTCGCAACGAGTCTCAAAACAGTTTTACAGGAGGGTCCTGTCGCCTGAAGCCCTCTCGTCCGTGGCTAGCAGATCTCCACAATGGCATCGAACCACCGAACACTGCTGCCAATCATGCGCAAGGATAGAAGAGGGAGGGGGGGGGGGGGGGGCGCTGGCAGGTATTTTTTTTTTACGATCTTGCCGAGCGGCGTCATTCCAAATAGTCGCGGCGTCATTTTTTGTTCTTTTTTTTAGAATCGGGACAAAAAAAATCTTGAGACACGCGCGACGGGCCCGCTCGCGCGCACGGCGTCACGCACACTCTTTTAAACGTCCCGGCTGGGGGAAAAAACTCGCCTTCCGTGGGGTCGGGGATTGGTGACTCAGGTCGCGTACCGCGCGCAGGGCGTGGGCGATTCGACCGGTCGCGGCGGATGCGATACGGGGTCGGACCCACGGCGTAGCACCGTCGCCGCTCGCTGGCGCTCGTCTAAATCCGCTCGCTGGCGCTCGTCTAGGTCGCTCGAAGCGATGTCGGAGGAGGCTCTGCTACGTCCGCATTCCGTGCGCTGCTCCCCAACGGCGACGAAGGATTTTTGTGCACTGGGCGGGATAAGCCGGCATGCTATGATTTAACGTTTAATAATGCAACTTAGTATAAATTGCGTTAGTTATTTAATGATACTTTTAAGATTTTTTTTTTTTTAAGGGTTTGTCTGTTACTAAAGAGCTACCGTTGGGTAACTATTCCAGTCCAGTTAAAATCTGGTCAATTCGACAACGTTTTTTAATAATTTTTTTTAAAAAATGTTCAGGTCCCCACTGCGTTAAGTGACGTCTCTGTGCCCTCTCGTGCCTCAATGTGCCTTGAAGTCGTAGGTCCATTGCCTGAATCCCTATTGCGGCATTTCCTCGCAGCAGTAGATGCGTTCCTGAAAGGTGCCGCGCTGAGCGGCAAAAAACGCGTTGAGAGAGGGAAAATTCCTGCCACTGCATCGCGTTGTGCGCCGTGAGCCATCCCGTGGTGGGACAGAGAACCGAGATGAGGGCACACGGCCACCACGTACCGCATCACTCCGCGCGTACGTACCCAGGATCGCCTTACCGCAACAGCCGCGCAGCTCAACAAAGTAGTTTGTCAGCGCCTGCTACAGAGACCGCGGTTTTCGCGTTATAACGGGGGGGGGGGGGGGGGGGGGGGGGGGGGGGGGGGGGGGGGGGGGGGGGGGGGCGCGCCCCGCGTTGTACCAAACACGTTCTCGAACAGAAGAACCGAGTTATCGCGAGAGCGCGTTTGCGTGAACAACCGCGCATTAAGCGAGGACTTGACCTGTACTTTATTTTATATTTGAAGGCCACGCACGGGCGTCACGGCGTTGGCGTTTTCCGAAATTCACGGTGTCCTGTACCTCGGCAGATCCCCAGCCCCGTGGGGATGATCCCCAGCCCCGTGGGGATGATTCCCAGCCCCGTGGGGATGATCCCGCACATTCCCGGAATTCCGGGACCGCACATGTTCAGCCACGGGCTGCCGCCGCCTCCTCCGGCACAGCTGCCCTCGCCCTCCGAGTCACGCATGGTACGTGTGCACGCGCGCGTGCGTTGAGTGTCAACTAAAAAAAAAAAAACAGATTGAGCCATTCACCTGCTCATCGGCTTGCCACCCAAACTGCAACCCGCCCAGCCGCTCGCCCATTGACGCAACCACCTGCTCGCTTGGTCACCTCTTTGCCCACTCACTCACGCACCTGCGAACCCACCTGGTCTTCTGCCTGCCCAACACTCACCAGTTAACTTACCCACCCCCCACCTAACTGTTCACTCGCTCACCTCATCCATCCACCCCCTCACTAACCCACCTCCCCTCATATTCACCTGCCACTCAACAATTGGCCCACAAATTCAACTCCTCACCCACCAACCAATTTTGCCCACTCACAAACCAACCCACACAACCGCCCCACTCATCCACCCACTTACGCCTCAACAATTCACAAGCCACCCACAGCTCAACTGCCCGCTCACCCACTGCCCACCCACCCACCCACTTACGCCTCAACAATTCACAAACCACCCACAGCTCAACTGCCCGCTCACCCACTGCCCACCCACCCACCCACCCGTCTTCTCACTCGCTTACCCACCGCTCACCCGCTCACTCGCTCACCATTTGCCCACTCACAAACCCATCCAGCCGCCCGCCCGCTCGCATATTTGCTCAACTCGCCCACCCACCAAGACACCTGCCGCTCACCTGCCCGCTCGCCCGCTCGCCCGCTCCCCCGTCCACGCTCGCTCTCCCGCAGCGGCTGAAGCAGATCCTGGCGCAGCAGGCGAGTTCGCTGCACGAGCTGCACGAGCTGCACGGCCTGGGCCTGGGCGGGGGGGGCGGCTGCGGAGGTGGCGCCCGCCCGGTTTCGCGCGACAGCCTCCCCTCCCCCCACGAGCGCCAGCTCAAGGAGGAGGGCTCGTCACGACGCGTACGCCACGCACGCGCGTACACGCACGCACACGTACGCACATACACGCACGCACACGTACACACGCACGCACACGCACGCACATAGACGCACGCACATACACGCACGCACACGCACGCACATACACGCACGCACACGCACACACGCACACGCATACACGCACGCACACGCACGCACATAGACGCACGCACATACACGCACGCACACGCACGCACATACACGCACGCACGCACACGTGTACCGGGTATCGTACACGCACGCTCCGCACAAAGGCGAACATTTCCCCGCGTAGCCTTGACAGACCGTAGGGGCCAAGTGCTGTTGGCGAGTAGCACCCCCATGAAAGCACACGGCAGCCTTTGTCTCCCCAGTGGCGATGTTTACACACCGCACCCGGGTCCTGTATTTGAGGCTGAGTCGGCCTAGAGGTGACCCAGGACCGGTTCAGATGATCGTCGCTAATGCCGAACCGTGAACGGGAATCGAACTCGGGTCGCCGGATCGTAGCGCGGCGCGCTGACCGCTGCACCACCGCTCCCCTGCCGGAGATCGGTAGGGGAGCGGTGACGTCACCACGACGCACGCACGCACACACGCACACACGCACACACGCACGGCACGCACACACGCACACACGCACACACGCACGGCACGCACACACGCACACACGCACACACGCACACACGCACGGCACGCACACACGCACACACGCACACACGCACACACGCACACACGCACACACGCACGGCACGCACACACGCACACACGCACACACGCACGGCACGCACACGCACCACCGCATGCGTACCACGCGTGCGAGCAAGCGCACACGGGCACACGCACGTAGAGTCGGCAGTCGGGATCCAGTTTTATGTCCGTCGATGGCTTTAGCGCGGGGTGGACGAGCAGGGTTACTCTGGGCCCCTCCCTCTGTCCCCTCCCCTCTCAGGCCGAGTCGAGGCCCTGGGAGTCGCCCTACCACGAGATGAACGTCAAAATGGTGAGCGCTTCCAACACCTGGATGGAGCTGAGAGTCTTGGCAACCGGATGGATGTGTGCGTGTATGCACGTGTGTGTGTGTGTGTCTAGGTGTGGGGAGCGGTAGTGTAGTGGTTAGCGCTACGCTGCGCTATGAACCTGGCGACCCGGGTTCGATTCCCGCTCACGGCCAACACCAGTGACGATTATCTGAACCGGTCCCGGGCCTCCCCTAGGTCGACTCAGCCTCAAATGAGTACCTGGTGCGGTGTGTAAACATCGTCATTGGGGAGACAAAGGCGGTCGGGCGTGGTGCTGGCCACCCACCCCCTCGTGTACCGTTCCGGCCTTCATAGGTGCTCGCTAACAGCACTTGCCCCTACAGTCTGTTAAGGCTATACGGGGGATCTTTATCTTTATGTGCCTAGGTGTGTGTGTGTGTGGGGTACACGGTGGTGCAGCGGTTAGTACGCTGCGCTACGAAATTGGTGAACCGAGCGAGTGATGCAACCTCTGAATCCGCTTCGGCACGCCAGTCTCTCCGGTAACCCTCGCGGGCCAGCCGGCGCTCCAACCCCTAGCTCCGCTCAGACTAAAAAAAAAAAATTTAAACTTCGCTCACAACTCGGCAGGAGTCTCCGGTCGACGACGGTGGTCACGGTCCCCCCAGCTTCGGTGGCCTCACCAGCGCCAGCAGCGACGGCGGAGGCGGCGGCGGAGGCGGCGGAGGCGGCGGAGGCGGCGGCGTCCGCCGGCGCCGCTCGTCGGTGGAGGACCCGGAGGAGCGCCGGCGCCGGTTCCTGGAGCGCAACCGGGCGGCCGCCACGCGGTGCCGCCTCAAGCGCAAGGCGTGGGTCCACTCGCTCGAGCGCAAGGCCGAGGACCTCGCCGACTCCAACGTGCAGCTGCAGGTACGGGCGCCGCCCCGCGGCCGGCCCGGTTCGGCGACGCGGCGCGGTGGTCGCCGACGGCGGCGGCGGCGGCGGCCCCCCCCCCCCCCCCCCCCCCAGTTGGGCACGGCACGCGATCACGGCTCGGGATTTTTGCCCGGTGGTTTCAAAATTAAAGAAATGAATCGCAAACTGACTAGATTGGGGATCCACGCGGAGCAGTCGCCAGATGCCGGGGTCGGTCTGCTTGTGGCACGCGGGCCACTGGGGGGCGGGGCGGGGGGGGGGGGCGGGGGGGGGGTCGGGGGGGGGGGGGGGGCGCGTGGGGGGGGGGGGGGGGGGCGGGTGCGGCGGGGCGGGGGGGGGGGGGGTGGGGGGGCGCGCGCGGGGGCGGGGGGGGGCGCCCTTTACGAGGCGTCGAGACCCAGGGCGACGCGGGGTTATAGCGGATCGCGTGCGGCTGTACAGGCTGACACCGCTGTGATGTTGCGACAGGCCCCGTTCATGTTTCTTCCACCTACCCACCCCCCCCCCGCCCGTTCCACCCCCGTTCCACCCCCCGCCCCCCCCGGCGTTGACGGCGTGCAGGCGGAGGTGACGCTGCTGCGGAGTGAGGTGGCTCAACTGAAGCAGCTGCTGCTGGCGCACAAGGACTGCCCCGTCACTGCCATGCAGATCAAGCAGGGCTACCTGCGTACGTAGCGCGGCACCCTCCCACAGCAGCTGTTGTGGCGTTGCCGGGCCGGCGGCGGCGGCGGCGGCGGCGGCGGTTGTGAGGAGCGGTGAGCGCTGCGCCGCGCAACGGACCCGGCGGCCCCAATTCGATTCCCGCTCGCGACCAGCACCGGTGGCGGTTATCCGAACCGCTGCTGGGCCTCCCCCCTAGGTCGACTCGGCCCCCACTAACGAGCACATGGCGCGGTGCGTGGTAAACATGGCCACTGGGGAGACAAAGGCGGCTGGGCGTCGTGCCGGCCTTCGTAGGTGCTACTCGCTGAGGGCACTTGCCCTCAAAAGTCTGTTAATGCCATGCTGGGCATCTCTGTCTTGTTACGGTGTGTATGCGAGTATTTGTGCGTGGTTGGTGCGCGTGTCTCGCGCATGCTATCCCCGTGCGCGCGTGTTGACTTTGCCGTTCCTGCGCGTGTGTGTGTGCGTGCGTGTGTGTGCGTGTGTGTGCGTGTGTGTGTGCGTGTGTGTGTGCGTGTGTGTGTGTGTGTGTGCGTGTGTGTGTGTGCGTGTGTGCGTGTGTGTGCGTGTGTGTGTGTGTGTGCGTGTGTGCGTGCGTGTGTGTGTGCGTGCGTGTGTGTGCGTGTGTGTGCGTGTGTGTGTGCGTGTGTGTGTGCGTGTGTGTGTGTGTGTGTGCGTGTGTGTGTGTGCGTGTGTGCGTGTGTGTGCGTGTGTGTGTGTGTGTGCGTGTGTGCGTGCGTGTGTGTGTGCGTGTGTGTGTGCGTGTGTGTGCGTGTGTGTGTGTGTGCGTGTGTGTGTGTGTGTGTGCGTGTGTGTGTGTGCGTGTGTGCGTGTGTGTGCGTGTGTGTGTGCGTGTGCGTGTGTGTGTGCGTGTGTGTGTGTGTGCGTGTGTGTGTGTGTGCGTGTGTGCGTGCGTGTGTGTGCATGTGTGTGCGTGTGTGTGCGTGCGTGTGCGTGCGTGCGTGTGCGTGCGTGCGTGTGTGTGTGTGTGTGCGTGTGTGTGTGTGTGTGTGTGCGTGTGTGTGTGTGTCTGTGCGCCACCACCACCATCACCACAGGTGGCAGTGCCCCCAGCGAGCCGGCAGCCAGCGCCCCCCTTCACGGACGCTCCGCCCCGCCGGCGCCACCGCCGCCGCCGCGCCACCGCGCCCCGCCAAGCCCCGACAGTGATTTCAACGACGGCGTGGCGTCTCCCGTCGCAGCAGCAGCAGCAGCCAGGCCGGCGGCGGCGACGGCCGGAGCCAGCGGGGGCAGCAGTGGGCAGGGGTCATCGCTGGCCACCCAACAACAACAACAACAGCAGCAACAGCAGCAGCAACAGCAGCAGCAACAGCAGCAGCAGCATGTCATCGTCGGTCCTCCTAGGGCACAGCCCGTGAGCAGATGAGCGAGTGAGAGAGAGAGCAGTGCGATTGTTATCGTGGGGGTTTTTTTTTAAAGTATATATATACATACAGTACATTTATATACGTATATAAATAATATCGTGTAATTTTTATTTTTTTTCTTCTTTTAAACGTGGTTATCATTTTTTTTTTCATCGCCCGGATGTTCTCCACTGCCTCCTCCGGACACCCGCGGCGAGAAGGCGCACCGGTCGAGGCGTCCGCAGACGTGCCTGGTTTTTCCCACCAATCGTTTAGCCGACCCCCCACAGATGCTGCCCAAAATGTGCCTGTTAAGTTGTGACCTGCTACAGGACACCGCGGTGTGTAGGAAACGCGCAAGCTAACGAGCAACAACAACAACAACAACAAATTACTTGCGCAAAACCCAAGGCAGACTTTACCGCATACGGGATAAACAAACGACGGTGCTCGGCGCACGATTTACAACGGCAGCGGTCGACAAATCCCGTCGCGGACAACCGCGTGCGAGTGGACCGCGTTGCACGGCCTTGCGACGTGGCGGAGCCTGGCTATGGCTTTGGCAGCGAGGGCGGCAGTGGCGAATCACGCAGGGGTTGGCATCCTCCCAGTGTACCGTGTATAATCCCATACCTGTCAACCCCTTGTCACAGACCAATTCAGACATTGTTGCTCATCCCCGTGCCTTGAGAAATCTCAAAGTTTCATCCTACAGAGTCCCCATCACAGGGGAGAAACACAGAGAAATAGACACTTGTTTAATATTTCCTGCCCTGTATTGGAACTCAATTTTCCCTGCACACGAGCACGGAGGTAACCCGTGATTGGTTGACGGCTGTGACGTTGTACAGAGGTGGCGGCGTCGCCCGTGGTTACGCGCGCCAAATGTCGACCGCATTTTCACGGCCACGTGGTTCCACGGACATTGACACCGACGGGACGACCGCTGCACCCTGACCTAGGCTGGCGCGGCCTCGGGTGAGTCTCGCCCGGCGGCGGCGGGCGGCTCACGCCCTCGAATCTGGTGGCCGCCAAATCTCCCCGGCACCGACCCGGCGGCGCTCGCCAGCAGCGCTCCGGCCGCCGCGCTCGTTTCCGTGCGGTACGCGCGAGGCGTGTACGCTAGGCGTGTACGCGAGGCGTGTACGCTAGGCGTGTACGCGAGGCGTGTACGCGAGGCGTGTACGCTAGGCGTGTACGCTAGGCGTGTACGCTAGGCGTGTACGCGAGGCGTGTACGCTAGGCGTGTACGCTAGGCGTGTACGCTAGGCGTGTACGCTAGGCGTGTACGCTAGGCGTGTACGCGAGGCGTGTACGCGAGGCGTGTACTCTAGGCGTGTACGCTAGGCGTGTACGCTAGGCGTGTACGCTAGGCGTGTACGCTAGGCGTGTACGCGAGGCGTGTACGCGAGGCGTGTACGCGAGGCGTGTACGCTAGGCGTGTACGCTAGGCGTGTACGCGAGGCGTGTACGCTAGGCGTGTACGCTAGGCGTGTACGCGAGGCGTGTACGCTAGGCGTGTACGCTAGGCGTGTACGCTAGGCGTGTACGCGAGGCGTGTACGCTAGGCGTGTACGCGAGGCGTGTACGCTGGGCGTGTACGCTGGGCGTGTACGCTGGGCGTGTACGCGAGGCGTGTACGCGAGGCGTGCGCGTTACATACGCGGCGATCGCGCGAAGTACATTACTCGTGCACGTGACGTGTGTGCACGTGACGTGTGTGCACGTGACGTGTGCACGTGTCACGTGCACACATTACGCGCGTGCACGTTAGTCGTGCGCAGCGCATGCAAAGTAACAAACGCTTCGTTTATTTTCTAATGTAGGTACATCTTCCACCAAATGCTGTCTTCCTGTGCGTAAAAGCGAGATTTTGAACGAGGGGTTAGTTATTTTTTTTATCGTTGCAATTTGTGCTCACTCATGACGTTACGTTACGTACGCACGCACGCACACACGTACGCGTGCGTGTGTGCGTGTGTGCGTGTGTGTGTGTGCGGCGGCTGGCGGGGAGCGGTGGGTTGGCGGTGTGAGCCGGCCGTCGCGAGTGCCGGTGTGTGAGCCCCTCCCCTACTCCCCTACTCCCCTCGCTCGAGAGCTCCCCCTGCCCCCCCCCGCCCCCCCCGCCCCCCATCGCCACTAAAGCCTTCAGAATCGGAATCTTTGTAAAGGCGTGTGTGCGCGCTCGGAGAACATAAAGATTGTTTTGGGTTAGCTCACGTAATTATAAATGTTTCATTCAACCCGGCCCACCACCCGACACAGCCAATTAGTAGGATTTGTCATCACGTAAACAACACGTGACAATAATGTTTCAGTAAGCTTTGTCACGTCAACAAAACACGGCGATAATGTTTTTGTTTTCGTGATAAACTTTACTAATTGGCTGTGCCGGGTGGTGGCGGGATTCAACGACACATTTATACATTCGCTCGATCTAACCCCAAACAAAACCAAAAAAACTTCCTATGGATATTGGTTCCGAAAGCACGACTGCTACTACTACTACTACTACCACCACTACCACGTGTTACCCACAATCCTCTCTTGTTGCACCTCCTCCTCGGGTCTCCCAAAGTACGGTGCGGAAGAAGTACGGCACGTACGCTGCGTTGTCACCGCGGGTTTTTCTTTTTTAAATACCGCGTGCACGAACGCTTTTTCCTTCGGCTCGTCCTTTCCCCAAACGCGCACCGACTTGTCGGAAAGGTTTCGCCGGGAGCGACAATGTCTCGTACAGTACCGACGCCCCGGCTGACTTTCTCTCCCGTTGCTGAACTCGAAGCGGGATTCCTCCTCTGCACGGCAAACCCTTACGGTGCAGTGTGGGGGGGGAGGGGGGGAGCGGCAGTGGAAGTCGAGGGTTACTGAGCCGCTGGGCTTGAGGATCCTGCACCAGGAACCACGTCGCGGGTTACCTGTAGCAGCAGGGCAGTCCAGGAGAAGGGTAGGTTTCTGACACGCGGTTCGTTCGACCCAGGGGTTAAACTCTTACAGTTCCCTCTTTAGCCTGGTGGTGGGGTTTCCCCCCGGTGGGGGGGGGGGGGGGGGCATAGCGAGGCAGGCGATTTCCGTCGTTACATTTCACTCGTTACATTTCACCACTCGTCCATCCCGTTGCCACCGAGAATTCGGCAGGGCGCGGCCCACGTAGCCCGTGTATAACACGTGGGGTGCACGCAGGGGTTCAGTGCGCATTGTGGATGCCCATGCAAGCAACCGTCCAGGCTGAAACCCGCTTAGCTTCTTGCGGTTGCTTGGGCCGTTGCATGCCCGCAGGGGGGTCACCTCCGCATGTATTGCGATTGCAAGTGATTTCTTTTTTTATTGATATATAAATACATTTAAACGTGTCCTTAGTTATTCACTGCCACGGGTTTTGACTGTCTGCGTGGGTGCGTGCGTGCGTTTATTTGGGGGCCGAAATTGGGGGGGGGGGGCGCAGACCCCCGGCCAATGCAGAGATCCGCAGAGCCCGCGGGAGTCGGGGGCAGGGGCGGGGGAGGGTGGGTCGAGCTGATCAGCTCCTGAGTACCTCGTAAGCCAACTTGACTCGTTCAGGTGAGTCACGTACAGGGGGGGGGGGAGGTAGGGGGAGGTCTGGGTACTACCCCGGCACACCGCGTCCGGTTTGCTTGTCGCTAACTGCTTGGCGTACCACCTAGTCGAGACTTCCCCGGACATTACTCCCGCGCCCGGCACACTACAATCCAGGTATCGACCTCTCGCCCTCTTCTGGCTGTGCCCCGCAAGGACACGTGCCGAGCCACGTGGCGATCCGGAGAATATTCATGGGGGGGGGGGGGTGGTGGACCTCAAGACCTGGTTTTATACATATATACACACGTGAATATATTATATTGATGTTATTTTTGTAATTAACATTTCTCGGAAGTTAGGGCATCCCCCGATTCTAAGTTTGCACGGAGCTTTTTATTTTATTTCCTAACGTAGGCGCACGTACGACAAACGCGTTTTTTATTCGTGGAAAAATTAAGAATAGGGGTTTAGCCGGCTCCACGGCCTAGACTCGCCAGTGTCGGACTAGTTTCAAAGACATATTATCAGAGAATGTTTGTTTGCATGTTCGCAAGCATCGTGTGGTTAATGCAGTACTTGAGTCCTTGCAAGATGTTTCAGTTGGGTGTTTGGACATCTTAACACCTGTTATATCGCCAGAAAGGGTTAAAACGTATTTTTTGTTAATACTTCGATACTGCCAAAAAGGTATCCCGTGGTGTGGCTGCTCACCCGAGCCACAAATGTTCTGATACGTGCATTGTCGTTGTACTGTTTGCCATTGTCTGGTCTGACACGGGTGAGACTAGGTCATCAAGAAGGGCTGCTGTCTCTGTGTCAAAGGCAATGCGTATATTGTGAGAGTTTGCATGTTCAACACAACTACTGTGTGTGTGGTGAATGCAGTAACTTGATTCCTTGCAAAATGTTTCTGTTGTTTGGTGTTTGAACATCTAAATACAACTCCCGTTCTATTTGCCAGAAAGGGTTCAAAACCTACTGCTATTTTTGATACTTTGAGACTGCCAAACAAGATTTCTCCCCCCCCCCATGATGCGTTTTTTATTTGAGTGCCTTCATCCGTCGTCTGCACGGCGAGAGATGCAGCCTCAGTTTGGTAGAGACAACAAATACTGAGAGAACTCTCGCCACCCTTCCACCCCGGACCGGGTTGCTCACGCCCGGTGTGTTAATTGTTTAATTGGATTGCGGAGGCTATGGCGGAGACGGTGGTGGCTATGCATGCGCACGTGGCCTGCGATGCAGCAGATTTGGAGTTTGCCAGGGTTGGTGGATAGCGCTCGTGTAGTCGAAACTCCCTTCCCCGTGCGCGTCGATGATGTGCCGACATTATGCCCAGGCTCGACCGGGAGAAGGCGGCACAGCGAAAAACGTGGACTTCAACCGGTTCCCGTCTCTACGGGATCGAGTGTTGCCCCCTCTCGCACGCGTGGGTTTTTCTTCAGGCGCTCCGCGATCTTCCCGCGCGTGTACAGACAGCTTGTTAAATGGCTGATAACGTGCGCATCTAGAGGTCTGCCAGAGCTTGGGAAATTGTTGGTCGCATCGGCTCCTCAACCACGTGACTGCTGCTGCCCCATTAATTCGTGCATCGGTGGTGTACATAAACGCATGTTTTTTTTTTACTAAACACAACAAAACAAGGGATTTACTAAAAAATATATATATATAATGGTTCGTACAAAGAGAAGAATCCGAGTGGGATCCGGCAGAGCGGAGGGCAGCGTCGGTGGATGCGGCGACCTTTGACCCGTGGTGAGATCTTGCGACCTCGTGCGCGCGTCCTGCTGAAATTTGAGATACGAGCGATGATGATGATGATGTCGTTGGTTAATTTTGAAGCGCGCGCGTGTGAAGGCTTTTGCGACCAATGTGACGGGTCTGGTAATCGATTTGTCCCGGTGGGGGTAAGATGTGCGAGTTTGTACCGTATGTATGTTGAGGCTTCTTTGGTTGCACCCTGCACGGCCAACCGCGCTCGCAGCAATGTGCCGACATGCGCCCTCAGCCACCCGGCACGCGACCGAATTCACAAATAAAGTACCGCTGCCGGGGCGATGGACAGACACTGCCAATGTATTACCGACTCGGCACCACCGCAATGATGGCTAGCTATACATACATACACACGCACGCACGCACACGCACGTGGAAAGATTAGGGTACGGGCATTTCGCTGGTAGCTGCAACCGGCATCATCGGGACAATCCTGGAGATCGATCGAATGGTGCTCGGTTTGTAACTACCCAGCGAAACCAAAGCGCTCGGTGCGTGTTTGTGTGTGCGTGAGGGAACGCTCCGAGCCCAGCGTTGCCAGCCGGTGTGCCGAAGCAGTAACAACTTTGTCGGCGGGTACGTTCACTTGGGTCGTGGCGGAGGGTGGCGGAGGGTTGCACGACACGCATTCTTCGACTCGCCCAACAAATCGATTTCGAATCAATTATTTCTGTCGGGTCGTCATCATTTAGTCTCTTCCCCTTCCATTCATATTTTTGTAAAAAAAAAAAAATACATCGCTGTTTTTTTAATTCGCAAATACCTGTCCTTTTTTTTTATATATACACACGACAAAAGAGGAATTCCTACACGCACACACACACACATATATTTGATGCTGCCAAGTGATCTTTCTTTAGCTGATGTATTTTTTTTTTAAACCATGCTGATTTTTTTGAGTGCAAGTGTGCAACCTGATAGTTGATGGTGGTGGTGGTGGTGACGATGAATACTAACTACTTAAGAACCCGTCACGAAGCGCAATGAAGTCCATAACAGGGCCGAAACTATATTTTGTGATTTACAGATACTATGCCAATTGTTCGTAAATAAATATCAAAGACGTAGGTGATGGTGGGTTTCTTTTGTTTGTGTTCTGAAGGTAAGTGACGTGAAATCCTTCCATCTTACGGACCCCCTACAGTTTAAACGTGTTTTTTTTGTTTCAGTAGAATTTAATTTTGAGACGAAAGCAACCCTTTGCAAATGTTGGGCGCATTTTGACTTCACTCGCGGCGCTGACTCGGTGGAGATTGGCAGAGATTCGCGGTTCAAAAAACAAAAAACCCCGTGCCAGTCCCCGGTTAACAGTGGGGTTCGGTGCGGTGTGTGTGTGTCGGTGTGTGTGTGTCGGTGCGATAGTGTAGCGGTTAGCGCGCTGCGCTATGAACCCGGCGACCCGAGTTCGATTCCCGCTCACGGCCAACACCAGTGACGATTATCTGAACCGGTCCCGGGCCTCCCCTAGGTCGACTCAGCCTCAAATGAGTACCTCGTGCGGTGTGTAAACATTGCCACTGGGGAGACAAAGGCGGTCGGGCGTGGTGCTTGCCACCCACCCCCTCGTGTACCGTTCCGGCCTTCATAGGTGCTCGCTAACAGCACTTGCCCCGACAGTCTGTTAAGGCTATATGGGGAATCTTTGTGTCGGTGTGTATATATGTGTGTGTGTGAACCCACAATGCCACGAGCCGCCTTGCCTCGGAGTTCGCTCAAACACCCCGTGACGTCATTCAACGCGCTTCTGGACCCACGTGTGCCAGCGTCACGGTCCAATTTTTTGTTGCAAATATTTTTTTAACTTCGCAAATTACTTAATTGGGGGGGGGGGGTAAAATAAATTTCAACGTAGCAATATTGCCGTTCCCCCCCCCCCCCCCCTTACTAATGTCAAAGACGAATTCGCACTTGCAGAAGACCGCTGGCAGCTGTCCCTTTGCGGCCTCTTGTGGCGCGCAGGGACAGCTGTCCCGACCTCCCTAGACTGCAGCAGCCAGGCGCGTGATGTCGTTCGTGGTGTCTGTCGTTCGTGGTGTCTGTCGTTCGTGGTGCTCTGCGCTACCCGTGGCATCGCAGTCGTGCGCGGTCCCGTAACGCCGCCCTTAATGTTTCGCCTTTCGTTCCAACAAGTGACCCACAGACGGTCGCCACGTGGACAAAGTCGAGTTTGCGTCCTTTCGCAAATGTCAACGGGACAGTCGCATTTACCCTGCCGAGTCTTCACCGCTGCACCCACACCACGCACTCTGTTGAAGCGGCTGACGTGAGGGAGGGGGGGGGGGGGGTGGAGGCGTTGTGCCAGCTCATGAACACAACGTGATGAGCCAGTTGGCCATTATGAACCGTATCGGCCATCGTTCCTCACCCACTGCGCATGCATAGGAGTCGGGGTTTTCCCAAACTCCAATCCTCGCGGCCTCACCACCACCATCACCGCCTCCGCCCGCCCATTCAAATGAACTACGTTCAGCGCTGCACGCGCCCGATGATTGTTAATACACTTCCCACGTGACGCGCTAAGTTGATAAATTAACGCTCTCTGCATCGTGTGGAACACGTGTACACGTACACGTGACGCACGTGCACACACGGAACACGTGCAACACGTACAGACACGTGTAACACGTACGGAACACGTGTGCACACGTGCAGACACGTGCAACACGTGCACACACACGGAACACGTGCACACGTACAGACACGTGTAACACGTACGGAACACGTGTGCACACGTGCAGACACGTGTAACACGTGCACACACACGGAACACGTGCACACGTACAGACACGTGTAACACGCACGGAACACGTGTGCACGTGCAGACACGTGCAACACATGCACACACACGCAACACGTGCGTGCACACGGCTACATGCATCCGCGCGTGCACTGAGATCTTAATGTGAATCGGCTCGATTAACGCAAGCAGCGCTAATGCCTTAGCGCGTCACGTGGGGCGTGTTTAACAATCATCGGGCGGGTGAAGCGTGGGGCGAGTTCATTTGAATGGGGAGGAGTACATTGGTAAACCCGGGAAGATGGAGCGTGGGGCCTTGAAGACTGCAGTTTGAGAAACCCTGCCAAAGGTCTCTGCGGTTGTGCCGGATCTAACTCCGATGTCTTTTTTTCGGCCTGTCACTGCAATGTTGCTGGTCACGACGTCCGACGTTCCGCGCCTACAGAAGCTACAGGACCAAGTTGGCAGGGTGAGGCGGCTCACAATGGGAAGGTTTTTTGTTTGGCGAGTCTAAATCCGGGTCGAGTGTGGATGACTCGGCCCATCATCTTCCCTCTGGAGTGGGGGGGGGTCGATAAAACGAGTATCATTTTGTGGGGATGTCCCACAGCGGTTTGTCTTTGGGGAAAGTTTCCGTCGCCTGCCATAGCAATGTGGAACTTCCACCCACTTTTCCTTTCTGGCCTTGAACCCGGGAACTTCTGTATCGAACTTAATTGATCCGCTTACTCGATGGGTGGAGGCGGATTCAACTTCGCTTCCCGAGGAAGCTTCCCAAGGTGCGTGGAGAGAAACGTCGGGCACCAGCGCCGAACAGCACGCGGTCGAGGGGTGTGGGGGCGGGGGGGGGGGCTTGATAATCTTTCTGAGTCCGTGGTCTCTGCCGCCGAGCAACCGGTTGCAGAGACGTCGTCCGCGTGTACGTGGAGTTGCGTGCAACCGATTGCGTGCGACTGATTGCATGCGACCGATTGCGCAGGTGTGGACCCAACTTTCGGAGTCTTCCCATGTGTGTCATATGGGGCAGTCCATTTAGTACGTACGCATGGAGGGAGGGGGGAGGGGGGGGTAACCCAAATGTGTACGTGAAGCCTCGATAATAATTTGTCTACAGTGGCCTTCAAATGAGTTAGTCAGTCCGGCGGTGGACTTTCTGTGCGCTTAAACACGTGAATATTATTAATCCTTGATCGTTTCTGCGTCGATTAAATATCGGCCGTAGGATTTGTGGAAGGTGGGGGGGGGGTGCGTCAGGCGAACGTACCCAGGTAGGGGGGAGGGGGGAAGAAGTAGGGGGGGGGGAGAAGTCCGCGTGCCTACAGGGAGCGGGGGGGGGGGCACGTTTTGACAGATTTTTTTGCGCACCAACTAAATTGGATGTCCCCTAATCTTCTCGTCGGCGCGTTTTCACCGGCGACGATCTCTTATATTGGGGGTGGAGGTGGGGGACACCCGCGGACCTCATTCCTGTCTGCGCAAGCCTCCGTGTGGAGGCGCCCGTGTCGGCGGTGGAAATTCCACATTCGCATGGCGGGAGGGCGAACCATCCACAGGGGCAACAACCGCTGTTGACTTCCCAACAAGTGGTGGCGCTGCTGCTGCTGCTGCTACTAGAACAACAACTCGTTTTATTCACCTCGGTAGAGGTGATTGGCGGAGTCGACTGCCCGCCCCACCGGTGTTTGAACTCGTGACATTTTCCGACCGCTGGCCAGAAGCGGCTCCCACCCGCCTGATGATGGGTAAACAGCACACGCATTTCAACATATGGAGCGCCGATTCAGTCACGGAGAGTGACTGCGCGCGTGTGTATGTGTGTACGTGGTGTGTATGTGTACGTGGTGTGTGTGTGTATGTGTACGTGGTGTGTATGTGTACGTGGTGTGTAAGTGCGTGTGTACGTGGTGTGTGTACGTGGTGTGTGTGTGCGTGGTGTGTAAGTGCGTGTGTACGTGGTGTGTAAGTGCGTGTGTACGTGGTGTGTAAGTGCGTGTGTACGTGGCGTGTGTAAGTGCGTGTGTACGTGGCGTGTGTAAGTGCGTGTGTACGTGGCGTGTGTAAGTGCGTGTGTACGTGGTGTGTAAGTGCGTGTGTACGTGGCTTGTGTGTGCGTGTGTACGTGGCGTGTGTGCGTGTGTACGTGGCGTGTGTGTGTGTGTACGTGGCGTGTGTGTGTGTACGTGGTGTAAGTGTGTGTGTGTGCACGTGGTGTAAGTGTGTGTGTGCACGTGGTGTAAGTGTGTGTGTGTGCACGTGGTGTAAGTGTGTGTGTGTGCACGTGGTGTAAGTGTGTGTGTGTGCACGTGGTGTAAGTGTGTGTGTGTGTGCACGTGGTGTAAGTGTGTGCGTGTGTGTGCACGTGGTGTAAGTGTGTGCGTGTGTGTGCACGTGGTGTAAGTGTGTGTGTGCACGTGGTGTAAGTGTGTGTGTGCACGTGGTGTAAGTGTGTGTGTGCACGTGGTGTAAGTGTGTGTGTGTGCACGTGGTGTAAGTGTGTGTGTGTGCACGTGGTGTAAGTGTGTGTGTGCACGTGGTGTAAGTGTGTGTGTGTGCACGTGGTGTAAGTGTGTGTGTGCACGTGGTGTAAGTGTGTGTGTGTGTGCACGTGGTGTAAGTGTGTGTGTGTGCACGTGGTGTAAGTGTGTGTGTGTGTGCACGTGGTGTAAGTGTGTGTGTGTGTGCACGTGGTGTGTGTGTGTGTGCACGTGGTGTAAGTGTGTGTGTGTGCACGTGGTGTAAGTGTGTGTGTGTGCACGTGGTGTAAGTGTGTGTGTGCACGTGGTGTAAGTGTGTGTGTGTGCACGTGGTGTAAGTGTGTGTGTGTGTGCACGTGGTGTAAGTGTGTGTGTGTGTGCACGTGGTGTTAGTGTGTGTGTGTGTGCACGTGGTGTAAGTGTGTGTGTGTGTGCACGTGGTGTAAGTGTGTGTGTGTGTGCACGTGGTGTAAGTGTGTGTGTGTGTGCACGTGGTGTAAGTGTGTGTGTGTGCACGTGGTGTAAGTGTGTGTGTGTGCACGTGGTGTAAGTGTGTGTGTGTGTGCACGTGGTGTAAGTGTGTGTGTGTGTGTGCACGTGGTGTAAGTGTGTGTGTGTGTGTGCACGTGGTGTAAGTGTGTGTGCACGTGGTGTAAGTGTGTGTGCACGTGGTGTAAGTGTGTGTGTGTGTGCACGTGGTGTAAGTGTGTGTGTGTGTGCACGTGGTGTAAGTGTGTGTGTGTGCACGTGGTGTAAGTGTGTGTGTGTGCACGTGGTGTAAGTGTGTGTGTGTGCACGTGGTGTAAGTGTGTGTGTGCACGTGGTGTAAGTGTGTGTGTGTGTGCACGTGGTGTAAGTGTG